TACAGAAAATATGTGTTGGTCCCTTGTTCTAATCTACTGTTGAACTCACCCATGAAACTATTGACTTCCATGTTGTACTTTTCATTTCTAGAATTTCCATTTTGTCGTTCTTATAGTTTCTTGGTTTTTAGCGTCATTCTCCAACTTGTTTTTCCTTTCATGAACACTTTAATTGTGGTGTCTCAGCAGAGATTCTCTTAAAAACAAATCCCAAGGCCAAAAAAAAAAAAGTATGGGCCAACACTGGTGCTTTAGGACTATGGCAATGTCTAGAGACACTGCTAGGTCCTTTAAGCATAGAAACAAGATAGGATGCCCAAGCCAGGTTGCAGGATGTGGTCGTGGTAAAACTTAAGTTTTTATAAGTTAATGTGACTAACTGGATTTTTTACAAATTTGCTTATAATGTGTTTTTCTACTTTTTTTGGAATTATATCCTTTTTATGCCTAGTTTTAAAAAATTTGCTGGATGTTGTACTTCAGAAGCAGGTAAGTTAAGATCTGGTCACCTTATTCAATCAGGGGTTTAGCTTAGGTATTTGAATCTGGGTTTCATGAATTTGTGAAGTGGGTCTATTTCCAATTCACCCTTCTTGCTAGGACAGAGCCACCTGCAGTCCCAGCTGAGAGCCTCAGGAGCTGATCAGTGCTCCTTGCCTTGCGAGGTCTGCAACTCAATTTTGTCCCTCCAACCCCATTAGTCAGATGGCATGTCTAGCAGCCTTTCATTCAACGCCCGCAATTTGAAAAATACCTTGGGCAGAAGTGTGGTAGCAAAAGGTAAAAATCTTCTTAGGTTTTCATTGTATTGGTGGATTTTACCCTTATGAATTCACACTATCATCATACGTCCTGATGACTTAAAATAAAAAATGTTAAATATATTTTATACATTATTTTTAGTTAGTCTTGCTGATTGGGTCTATCAAAACATGACTTCTGCTGTGCCGACAAGCAAACTTTTAAAAATATATAAATCATTTTATTGGGGGCTCATACAACTCTTATCACAATCCATCCATCTATCCATTGTGTCAGGCACATTGTACATATGTTGCCATCATCCTTTTCAAAGCAAGTTCTTTCACCTTGAGCCCTTGGTATCAGCTCCTCCTTTATCCCTCCCCTCCCCCACTCTCTCTTCCTCCCTCATGAACCCTTGATAATTATAAAGTATTATTATTATTTTATGTCTTGCACTGGCTGATGGCTCCTTTTACCCCCTTTTCTATTGTCCATCCCCCTGGGAGGGGGTTATAGGTAGGTCACTGTGATCAGTTTCCCCTTTCTCCCCCCACCTTCCCTTTCCCCTCCTGGTATGGCTACTCTCAATATCAGTCCCAAGGAGTTTATCTGTCCTGTATTCCCTGTGTTTCTAGCTCTTATCTGTACCCATGTACATGCTCTGGTCTAGCCAGATTTGTAAGGTAGAATTAGTGTGTGTGTGGGGGGGGGGGCAGCAGGAAGCATTAAAGAACCAGAGGAAAGCTAATGTTTCATCGATGATATACTTGACTGGCTCATCTTCTCCCCATGACCCTTCTGTAAGGGAATGTCCAATTGCCTACAGATTGACTTTGGGCTTCCACTCCACACTGCCCGCATCATTCTCATTATGATTTTTTTGTTCTGTGTCTTTGACGCCTGCTACCTGATCCCATCAACACCTCGTGATCTCACAGGCTGGTGTGCTTCTTCCATGTGGCCTTTGTTGCTTCTTAGCTAGATTGCCACTTGTTTATCTTCCATCCTTTAAGACCCCAGACACTATGTCTTTTGATAGCTGGGCACCATCAGCTTTCTTTACCACATTTGCTTATCACCTGCTTTGGCTTCATCGATCTTGTTGGGAAGGTGAGCATCATGGGATGCCAATTTAAAAGAACAGTGTTCTTGTGTTTAGGGAGCACTGGAGTAGAGGCCCAATGTCCATCTGCTTCCTTAATACTAAACCTATAAATATATGTACATAGATCTATTTCCCCATAATCATATATCAATATATTTACCTGTATTTAGACCTGTATAAATGCCATTTGCCTCCTAGTTCTTTCCTCTATTTCTTTTTACTTTCCTCTTGTCCCACTATTGTGTTCAGTCTTCATTTGGGTTTCAGTAATTCCTCTCAGTTACATGGCCCTTGATCAAGTCCTACCAGACCTCCAACGCCCTCCTTGCCATCAATTTTTGGTCACTTCTTGTTTCCTTGTCCCTGGGTTGTTAACACCCACTTCCTTTCCCCTGCGTCTCCCTCTCCTATGTACCCCCAGAACTGTTGTCGCTGTTGTTTTCTCTTCAGGCTTGTTTATCCCACCTATCTTATCTAGATAGACATGCAGAGATAATAATATGCACAAACACAAGACCAAACAAAACAAAGCAACAATAAAAATAAAACAATAGCTCCAAAAACAACACAACAAAAGCCAGCAACAACAAAAAAAGTGTATAAATAGTTCAAGGTCTATTTGTTGTCTGTTTTCTGGTCAAGTCTGATGGGGTGCCATGCCATGGCCCCACAGTCTATTTTTGGTATTCTCTGGGGACTTCATTGCTCTGCTCCCCTTGCTATTCTGTTGCATGCCCTTAGTGTTTTGCCTAGGTGGGGTGGGGTCAGACCGGGCACAATCCTGCAGTATGCCTCCAGTCTTGTCTCCCATAGTGCTATGGGTCAATGAGGAATGTCGTGTCTCATGGTGGGGCTGGCCCTGTGGTCCCAGCTGTGCATTGGTTGCTCTCAGCAGTAATAACATCCTCAGGGCTTGGTGGGCTAGGATGTGCTTCACTACTTTTTCCTTCTCCCTCGTTGACTCCTGTGTGCTCTGATAAGATATGTCCCTCTCCTTAAGCTGTAGCTTCAGTGCTGTCCTCTGAAATGAATACTTCTTTGGTGGATGGGGGGCAGAGGGAGGGCTGTCCACTTAGTTGGTAATGGGGCCAGTCCTTCAGGCCTCTCTATTGGTTCCCTGCTTCATGTCAGTGTGGTGTGTTCTTGTCTTGGAGCAACGGATTGAAGTCTGGTCCCTCTTTCCCTGTGGGGATTTAAACAACACCCTCCCCTTGGGTGGGTTAGTGCCCTGTTCCCCCGGCTACCCATGTCTTTTCTCCCTCCCTCCTTTTTAGTTGGCTACCATATGTATCCCTGAGTTTAGTCTGGCCCCTGCCATAGTACCTGGACCTCACCCCAGGAATGTGTGTATACAGTAGCTTTTTCCCTATGCTCCTTTTGCATTTTTTGAGCTTACCTCAGCAGACTCATGTTGCACTTGTCCTTTTGTGCTTGGCTTACTTTGCTTAGCATAATTTCCTCCAGTTCTTCTCGTGCAGTGATGTGTTTCATGCGTTCATCACTGCTTTTTAGGGATGCGTAGAACTCCATTGTATGGATGTACCGGTTTTTTAATCCATTCATCTGTTGATAGAAATGTGGGTTGTTTCCAACTCCTTGCGATTGTGAACTGCACTACGATGAACATTGGAGCACAGATGTCTGGATGTGGGTTTGTTTCTTGCCTCTTCTGGGTATATGCCCAGTAGGGGGATTGCTGGCTCGTATGGTAGCTCAATTTTCATCTGTTTTAGATATCACCAGATTGATTTCCACAGTGGACATACCTACAGGTCCACCAGCAGTGGACGAGAGTTCCTCTCTCTCCACAGCCCCTCCAACACTTGTTATTTTCTGATTTTTTGAATTGGGTTATCTTTGAGGGTGTTAGGTGGTATCTCATTATTGTTTTAATTTGCATTTCTCTTATGGTTAGAGATCTGGAACATTTTCCCATATATTCATTGGCCATTTGGATTTCTGCCCTTGAGAAACTTCTATTCAGGTCCTTTGCCCACAATCCTCCGTGGACAATTGGTTTTTTCTTGTTGTAACTTAGCAGAGTATTGTAGATTTTAATAATAAGTCCTTTGTCTGATATGTCATTGCTAAAGATGTTTTCCCATCCTGTGGTCTCTCTTATTACTCTCTTGGCAAATTCTTTTGATTTTCACAAGTGTTTTATCTTTAGTATATCCTACTTGTCAATTTGTGCCT